ATGCTTATTATTATTAATAGTGAACTTAATGCACCTTATGACTCGGGTTACTTCGCTGCATTCTAAAAGTGTGTGTGTGTACACAACTCCCCAGAAGAACATGAAAGTGACCAAAAGGTATACAAATTGCAGGTTGCCAGGTTCCCCTATTCATCCTCAACAAAATAAACAGCACTCCTTTCATAGGTGTGAAACACAATGTTTACTTAGGAATAAGTCCCACTGTGATTGATTCACTGGGGGGTATGTTTAGGATCACATCCTCTATAGCCCAAAGGAGAACTTGAATAATTGTCTTAGTTAATAATAGTATAAAATGCCTGCCCAACACTTGCATAATGTTAATATTTTAGTTACTGCTTATTTTAAAATTGGGTTAACACAATTGCTGTCAGAGAGACAATGACTTAAGAAAAATCATCTAATAACATTTTAGTATTATTATTTAATATTCAAAGTATATGAAAGCTTTCACTTACCTGGCCCCTTTAAATAAGAAATGTATAACATGCAGAGGGTTTCCAAAATTAAATCATTGGCAATACCATATGGTGGACATATTTATCATTATATAATATTCAGATGTAAATGTTTTCTTACACGCATTTCATTCATATCGTGGTCCAATAGCACATGTCATTCCAAAAATACATTCTAAAATATTGCATGGTATTTCCATTTCCCACAAAATGCCAAACTGTTTATTGTTATTGAAAAGTTTTCATTGAAGGCAACAATATTTCTTAGAACAAAACTGCAAGTATATCAAGAAATTATATCTTGTATCAAAGTTATACTCACACAAAATGACCAGGCTGGTTCTAAGAAGTACAGACATCCAGGAATAAATATACAGTGGGGGAAGGCAGTGAAAATTATCTGGCAACCATCTGGACTGTTTCATTCTTTTCTACATATCCTTTTGATTAGGTTATCAAAAAAGCCAGATCTTTGCCTTCCCTTGCCCTATCTATCTATCTAAACTAAAAATCATTTTGTCTATATAAAGTATGCCTTAGAACACTAATACACACATACACACATGCACACTTGGAGTAATTTTTAAATACATGATTTGGTCTTATGCTGTAATCATGCCATTTTACATAAGGCTCACCATAAAACACAGATTTAGGTGGGGTTATATCCATTAACATTCATAAGTTTAAGCATTTACAAGTCAGCATTGGATTGTAGCCAGATTATATTCATCCATCCATCCATAGCAAACCACTTTCAGACTATATCAAGGTGTGAGAAATAAAACTGCTTTCCTAGGAAAGCTGAGAAGAAAGCCAGAAACCAAAATAGCTTTCCAATTCTTGATATGTTAAAGAGATAGCTTTTCCTTCCTTTAAAAAGTATCATTGGAACCCTAACCCTGATATTAATAATCTGCTAATGTCATACATTCTTGTCAGAAGCTTACTTGGAAGTGAATCAAAACCAGTGCCACTTAAATAAACATGTTCAGGATTTTGTCCAGGGTTGGACATGGATGTGATATGTATGCTGGAGTATTGGAAGACTTTCCTCCCTAAAGAGTGTTGCCTATTTTTTTTTACATACGATCAGGACAGGAAAAATATAGACTATTTTATGGCTCTTATTCAGATTATATTATACAATTATTTGCCAACTGCATTTTTGCTATAGGTATTGATTTTAAATTCCAAAATGATTACTCCATGCCTCACAAAATTAAAAAAAGGCACAGAACGTATTACTTTTCTATTTTTTATAAATGTTTTGTGCATTCACTATTCTGGACTCAATATTTAAGGCTTTTCTGTTGTGTGCAGAGAATGTGGAGCTTTGAGGGAGTTTTGCAAGAAGCTGTATGGTGATAGAAGAACATAAATGATTATTAAGGGACAGTGGGATATATGTGTAAGAAAAAAATAAATTCTGGATAAGCACTGAAATGCTTCACTATCAAGTATGAGGGCTAGAAACTTTCCTTTTTCTTTTTTTAAGATAAAGATGCAGCGTTTCAGGAGCACAAACTCCAAATTACTTAGTAAATTCTATGTTCAATATTTGAAGAAAGTGGACAGAAGACAACCCATTTATAATGTGACTTTGTGTCTATTCCTGTATTTGTATGACATTGCTTCATTTGTTTTGCCATTGTCAGATTCAAAGTAGGCAGTTGGAAATCTGTCCGAATATGTATGCTAAGTGAACAAAGTATTTCAAATAAATGGTATGCAGCTGTTTGATAGTTTACAATTACTATAGTACAGGGTCCATGCTTTGTGTACAACTATAAATCCTGCAAGCAAGCAATGTTATTTTGAACACACCATGCTGGATTTTATATAAGTCTGTAGGTTTTGTTCCAAGGAAAACAAAATAATGAAAGAATATAAATATTAGATACCATTGCTTCAGTGTATGGTGCTGTAAATCTCTGAAGATTTACAAAGAGGCACAGACAACATGTTGTGCAGCTGCATGTGACACTATTTAATGGTCTGATTTGATGAACTAGTTTCTCAGCACCTCATTGACAATCACTGATTGTACACAAACAAGTCTTGGAATGTCCCATAGAGCTTTTCTAACACCTTTATTATTAGTTCACCCTAAAATAAATTCACAAGCCCCAATCTTCTGTTGCTCTTAACTTTAAAAACAGTATTTCATGTGACTTCAAGGGGAGCTGCGTCTAGGAGGAGACTGCAACACCTCAGTGCAGTGTCTCCACTAATCGGTTTCCCCAAGCATTTAAAGCAGAGCTTGACAATACTTTAGGATAGTGTGAAGGAACACACACTTCTAGAGCTAACTATGAACGAGGATCTTCCTGTGGCTTAACAGGTAATCTAGCCTGCCACAGAGCTTGCCATGGGTGTCTCAAGCCCTAATTTGAGGTCCATGCAGCATCTTTGAGATAAGAACTGCATTCTACATGGAAAACACCAGGGAACAGGTAGAGGCATGATATTACTATGGTGAAAATAATGATGAGGGAATGGAGGATATATTGGGCCACAGCTCCTTCGGGCTCCAAAGCTGATTGAGTTAGCCAATATTTTCAAGCCATATTCTGGCAAACATTGCAGGGACAAACAGTGATAAACAGAACCACAAGATGTGTAGCTTGATTTCCCTCTGTTCATCACATCATTTTGCTGAGTTGTTCCAACTTGTTAGACATTTTCTGATTTGTCTCAATGGGAAGAAAAAATAGAAAATGCAAATACAATTATTATTATTTAAATAAAAAGTTATCATTTCCACGCATAATCATGCTATTGTGCAGCTCTTCTGAGATAGCTTTGTTGTTATTTGCTCCTCCTCATCAACAGGGAAAACAAATCAGTTGAAAGCTCTAGAATCATGCAACATATGAAAATACAGGATGTTACATAATGAAGGAGCAACAAAGAGGAAATAACTGAGACAAGTGTGCTATAAAGCAATCAATGACCACAGATCCAAGCAGAGGTGAAGTACCAGCAATACAGGCATGACTCCAGAGAAGAACTTGAAATGTAATGAGCAGCAAAAAAAGAAAAAAAAAGAAAAAAAAAGAATGAATGAATAAAAATTGCTTCTTTAGTATTGAGGCCAAATGCCTTCATGAAATTCTGAATCTCATTTTATTTATATTCATAAGCAGTTCTTGCTATTGGTTGACAGCTCAAGATACACCTTGGTCTATTTCAGTGTGATTAATTCAACCAAAATAAAAGTACTTCCTGTTAATTGGCTCTTCCAAATCAAGTTTTATTTGTTTAGCTCTGTATCCTACCCTGTTCCCATAGACTCAGGGTGGTGCTGTAATTCTGAAGATGAAAAGATGAAACAGGGATGTATTGAAATGGATATGAAAAATTGCCTTTTACACATTAGTGGAAGATGTTATGTGAGCATGAAATTCTGCTTTAACTTTTGCCTCTGACATATGAGAGAGATTCTGTCCTATCACAAAGCATTATGTAATGAAATATTATTTCACAGGTGTTCACGGATGAGTGATTAACGCCTCAGTAAACTAGAAGAACCCAACTGCAAACAAGTTAAATACCCTTACAAGCGTCACAAGGTCACTCATACTGGAATCTGTAGTTAATTTTCCATTGATTTCTATGGGGTTTAACAATTATTTTTGTACCTCACACATTTCCCTAGATTACATTCTGTGGGGATAACTATTTTTAATATTTCATCATTGTCTTCAGTAATTAGTGACCAGTAATGCTGAACTCATAAAATATAAAGACAACTTCTCTCACCTTAGTTTTAAGCAGATATTTGTTGGTGTTTAATCTAAATTGGCAAATGCATATTCTTCAAGGAGAACGGGTTTTAATCCCAATTTAGCCAGTCATGGCTAATATGCACATGAAATTATCACATATAATTATATATGCACATCACACACACACACACACACACACACACACACGAAACCATCATATGTGATTTCCCATATAGGCACTTTTTGTGTAGAAATAAAATAGGGAATATTATCCAATAAATACATTATAGAGCCATTTTTTCTTTTTATTTCCAATGCTATATTTAATATCCACTGGTGTAAAATCCAGTGTAAAGAGAAAAGTTGAAAAGCCAGAGTGCTTAAGTGAAATAAAGATAGAAATTAATTAGAAACCAACTCTCTTTAAGATACTTAACAGTAGAATTGCTGAACTTTTTGAAAATCCTAATGAAGTATGGAGTGTTGAATTCTATAGTGTATTTATTATTGAATCTTACTTCACATTTTATTTTTATTTCATAAAAGCGATCATAGTGTAAGTCTTTTTAAAATATAAGCAAGGAGAAGTTAATAGTTATTTTAAAATAATAGAATTTGAGACAAACTATGTGTTTAAATTAAAAAACTGAACAGTGAACAGAAATAGATATATCAATAATCAGCCTATTAAACTATTGTAATGTGCTCTGCACGTGGATAATTCTGAAGCCTTTTTGGAACGGGTACAAATTGTGGCAGCTAGGCTACTGGATGTGTGTGTTGTCATACTGTATTGTTTGAAAGGGGGGAAGGTTAGCACTCCCCTTGAAAAGGATAGAAGAGGTCCTTGTGGCTTGTACCATGCATGTACGCTGAAGGCATTGCCACTCTGTAGCATCTGGCACTTTTGAGAGCCAGTGTGACTTAGTGGCTAAGAGTGCTGAATTGGGACTCAGGAGATTTGGGTACTATTCCCCCCCCCCCCACATGGAACTAACTGGGAGACTTTGGGTCAGTCACAGACTCTGGGTTCATATGGTGGTGGTGGTTGTTGTGAGGATACGATTGAGAGAAGGGGAAATATAAGCTGCCTTGAGTTCCTTGGAAGGGAAGAAGGCAGGATATAAATATAATAAACAATAACAGCCTGGAATGCAAAAAGAAGATCCAGGGCAAACTAGATAAGCCTGAATGCTGGGTGGAAAGCAACAGAATGACATTCAACAAGGATAAACACCAAGTTCTCCACATAGGCAGAAGAAAAAGGAAAAGGAAAAAAAATCAACTGCATTGATAAAAGATTGGGAATACTTAGTTCAACAGTACTGAAAAAGAAAAAGACCTTGGAATTGTTGTAGACAACAAGCTAAATATGAGCCAGCAATGTGATTTAGCTGCAAAAAAGGCACACACTATTTTTGGTTGCTTGAATAGAGGTATCACTCCAGGAAAAAAGACGTATTCATTCCCCTCTACTCTGCACTCATCGGGCCTCACCTAGAATGCGGCATTCAGTTTTGAATTAAAAAGTTTAAAGGATGCAGTTTAAAAAGGATGCTGAAAATCTGTAAAGTCTTATGAGAGGCTAAAAGAACTGGGTCTGTTCAGCTTTGAGAAAAGAAGACTGCAAGGTATCCCAAAGCTGTAAGAAAGAAGAAGGAAAAGACCTCTGCTCCGCTCCACTCCTCCCATGGAACAATGAACTTAAACTACAGTATACCAGGTGCAAGCTAGACACAAGGAATAACTTCCCAACTGTCAGAGCAATATGACAGGAGAACCAGTTGCCAAAAGAGCTTGTGGGCTCTCCCACACTACAGGCATTCAAGCAAAAGCTGAACAGTTATCTGAGTGGGATGCTGTGACTGGCATCCTGCACCAGTAGGGGTGAGGACCCGATGGCCTTCTTGGCCTCTTCTGCCCTACTATGAATTCTATGATTCTGTGAAACAAGCAACACAACAGGTGCATGGATGGTATTGGGACCAATACCTAAAAGACTTGTGCTAGGGAATGCTGAGGTATGACAAAGAAGATGACTAGTTATGCGATGGATCAATTACATAAAGGCAGCCACAGCCTTGAGGTAGCAAGAGCTGAACAAGGCTGTAAAGGGCAGGCCAGTTTTGGAAGGCACGCAATTCAGTGTGTTGTTTTTAACATTTAAGGGCATAGTGCTGTGGGATGGGAGTTTTTTTCCTGTCTACATGTCCGTGGCTTTATACCCTAAAGCCATCATAGCTTAAGACCGGTTCTCTAAGAGACCTCCTGCATGGCTGTGAACCTGACCAAGTATTAAGATGTGCAGAAGAGGGCACCATTACAAGCAGAAGCCCCTTTGTCAGGAACATGTGACAAGGTTTTTTTGTGTGTGGTCCCCAAACTGCAGAATGTGCTCCCTCAGGAACTCCAATCACCCCCACTCTCTTGGACTTCAGGAAGACTTCATGCACACACGGTTTCAGATTTGTTGTTGTTGTTGTTAGTTGCGAAGTCATGTCCGACCCATCGCGATTCCATGGACTATATTCCTCCAGGCCTTCCTGTCCTCCACCATCCCCCGGAGTCCATTTAAGCTCACACCAACTGCCTCACTGACTCCATCTAGCCACCTCATCCTCTGCTGTCCCCTTCTTCTTTTGTCATCTATTGTTCCCAGCATTTTTCAGATTAGTCTATTAAAATATGAGTTCTAAGGTTCTATGAGTTTCATTTTTTTGTTTTGATTGTTGACTAAATAAAGAATAAATAATAGGTATTGATGCATTATTAAATGGTACTTAAAGGGCACTGTTTCTTTGGAATAGCCAGAAAGTACACTTCCTTTACTGGATTAAATCCAAATAAATGACTGTATAAATGCTCATATACTTGTGAAGTTGATAGACAGACAGACCCTAGAACCCTTTTGTGTTGTGGATCATGTACTCTTCTTATGGAATTAAGTTTATGCACTACTTAGAATGAGTGAAGGCAACATTTAAAGAAGTCTTTACTAATTTGGTATCTCCAGATAGTTTAGACTACAGCTTCCAGTATCCCTGATCATTAGCCAGGCTAGTGGGAGCGAAAGTCCATTGGTAAGGCACTGAGTTGGTGAGGGCTGCTTTATAGGTTTGTACAAGTTTTGAAATAATGATGTTACTGTGCATTGACATCCTGGGGCAATGAGAAAGTCCCAGAGATGATTCCAGACTCACCAATAAGAATGTGTTGCCTATCACATGTCTGTTAGATTGGTACTGTTCAGGATTTCTTCCTGCACTTATTTTGCATCCTCTCAAAATATGATATACTGATAAGACCTTGAGAAAGCAAATATATGGGAATATTTTATTATACATTTTATGGTGCTACTTGGTTGTGAAAGTATATTATGAACCTGATCTCAATCATCCTCCAACCTCATAAAGTAAGTTAGGATGGAATTCTATTCGCATTCGGTTGATAAACTCCCTATGTTCTCCAGCCAGCATGGCTAGCTATGGAATACTGGGCATTGTAGGTTATTTCTATTTTAAATATGCATAAATTTGCACCGTTATATGATTATTCCTAGTTTTAGGGCTTGGGAATTCTGGTTGACTTTGTCCAGCCTTACTGTTGATTTAGCATGCAATCCTAAGCAAGTTTTAGACAGAAAAAATGGCCTATGCTTGCTGGGTCATCCTGGAAACTCTAAGCATGTTTTTTTCTGTCTAAACTTGTGTAGAAGTGTACCCTTAGGGTGTGATGCTATACTTTGAAAGTAAGCTAGCTGAAGCTCCATGCATTGCAAAGCTAATGTGTTCAGGAATTCGATATCAGTCATTTTATGTATCTATATCTATCTTACCACAGTGTCTGGTGTTTGTGGGGTTCAGAATAAGGAAAAGTGAACTTTGTTTTCTTTACTATCCTCCTTAAAACTTCTCCAGCTGTGCTACTTAGTGCAAAGAATCAATATTTATATCTACGTATCTTTAATGAGGCATCCAGGGGCTACTGTTTTAACTCTGACCTCCATCAGTGGAGGCTGTGGTCAAGTGGCTGGAGGACAACAAATACAAACTGAATCCAGAGAAGATTAAAGTGATGCTCACAAAGCAGAGACATGCTCCAAAAGGGGGATCCACTGCCTGTGATGGAAGGAATCTCATCTTGGTGCTTGCATCTGATCAGATCTAAAGAATAACAGGCAGTCCTGAATTTGGTGTTGTTTCTTGAGAGGACCATCTGACTTGTTGCTCAGGCTCCTGCTATTCATCTTTGGTTAATAAGAAAGCCTTTCCCTCAGGTCAGGTCACCCAGGGGAAAAGCTGCCCTAGAGTCCTTCCTGTTGATGAGGTGGCACAGCTGAGACACAGGCAAAGGAATGCAGACCAGTTGACAATGTGAGCTTGTGTCACACACAAATACAATTGCAAGAAAAGTAGGAGAAACAGTTGGGAAGGGGAAGTATGCAGTAAGTAGGTGTAAGTCCCAATGAGTAAAAGAACGGAGGAACAGGACAAGTGACCATGACTTCTGCTCCCCCCTCCCCCCCGCCCTGAAACACACACCTTGTAGAAAAGAAAGAAAAAGATGAGGGAAGAAAAGAGTCACTTGCTGTATCTCTTCCCTTTCATCTAAAAGCAGGCAAGTGCAGCCCCTGCCCTGTGCTGATTGGAGAATGTGCTGCTAAAGTCTGAGCAAGACCTTTGAAGATAATGTGATTTACTTCTGTACATACATGCACTGGAAAAAAGACAATTGAGAAGACATTGCTTGCTTTATTTTTTTAAAGGACAGGGATGTGGAAGCAGTATTGCATTTGCAAGTCAGAGAGAGACAGAGAAAAGCCATGGGGTCGGGGGAGGGCAAGCAAAGGTAGGTGGGAAAGCAACCGAAGCATCTCTCTCTACCAATGTTTTGCTGGACACTTCTTCCTCTTCTTTGTTGAAGCAGCAAAGAAAAAAGTGACACCCCTTTTCCTTTCCTCCATCCTGAAACCACCACATATGTAACAGAAGGAAGGGAACTTTTAAAAAATTCTCATGGCACACCTCAATTCCTATATTCAGGACACTGCACTATTAGAGAGGGACTCAAGCATGCTTCCTCCATGTTCCATTTTTCTCCCAATTGACTCAACATTCCATGGCTTCTGGTGGTTACTGAGCATGCTCAATCCGCACGTTGAATTTTATGTTTTTCTCTTAATTTACAAATGAACATATTTCTGCATATATGGAAATCCAGCAAATTTGCTGACATCATTTATTTATTTATTTAGTCTATGTTATTCCACAGCTGAAGCTGTTTGGGCAGTTCACACAGTCCATAAAAACAGATGATAAAAGTACAATAAAATATTGTAAAATCAGAAAAAAAATCAAAAAGTTTTAAACATCTAAAAACAGATAACAAAGAATAAAAAAAAAGAGCTTTGTTTCCTTAGGGCCATTTTGCTGATTGACTCAGATGAGTAAGCGCCAAGCTTAGGAAGGAATTATATCAGTTAAAATATGGAAAGAATATGCAGTTACATGGAAGTTGCTAAAGACATAGCTCTTGCTACCAAGCAGATTAGTAAAATAAAATTGTTACACTGTCTGAGATTCAGGAAAAATCAAACTAATATACCCCACCCCCTACCACTTTGACTCAGGCTTTGGTGAACCTCCAAATGAAAGGTGTTCCAAGGCGCTGGGCCAGCCATGAAGATCAATTTTTCACATTACTTTGCCATTCAGATATATTATACTATGAAGGCACTCTTGCTTGATTTAGTTTTGATGGCAAATACGAAGGAGGTACGTTTCACCATAGGTGGTGACTAAGCAATGTAGAATGATTTCTTGTATTTTAACTTTGTGTTGTGAGCCACCCCGAGGCTTCGGCGAATGGGGCGGCATAGAAACGTTTTAATAAATAAATAAATAAATAAAA